AAAAATACATTCATCAAGAATAAAAATACAACACTTAGTGATAGTCAAGGTTACTAATAAGCTATCAAATTGTACTAGGAAACAAATAAAAACCATATAAATTGAAAAATGCAAGCAACATGGTTAGAATCATATGTGGGGAGAGATAGATACTAGGAAGGAAGAGAAGAATAATAGTAATACATTCTTAGTAAATTATTGACAGTATTGTGGTAATTAGTTGTTAAGCAGAGTAATGGCACTGGGGGGGGGGGAACTGTTGTGTCTAGTTGCTTTGGTGTGCAGAGATCCGTAGCATCGTTTTGAGTGTAGAAGTTGAAACAATGTGAGCGGCCTGTAGATGCTTTTCCCATATTACAAATCTTATTATGATTATTTGATTTTGCCTTCTAAGACCTTGAGCTTTGATTAGTTAATTGCTCTATATATATTCATCAAAAAAAAGATGTTTCTATATCTTTATATTCCCCACCTGTATCATAAGGAACAAAGGGTATCCTTTTGGTACAACTCTGTGTGGTAGTCCTGACAGATTCTACTTATACATATAAAGGCCTAGAAAAATATAGGAGAAAAACTTTCTCTCCCATCATATATTTCATTTGTTCAATACTATTGAAAATTTGCATTCAGGCACTGCAAACCAATAAAGTTTTTAAAAATTATATTTGTAATTTATGTTCATTCCAATTTGTCTCCCCTGTTCTCCTTCTAGAGCCTTTGAATTTCAACAACAATGTAACATTATTGTTGTAAAATCCTTTGATGGACTACTGTAATTTCGGATCTATGATTTTTTTTTTACTAATAGCATCTAAGAACACTGTTGTGTACAACACAAGTTGCAAAATTAGATCACCAAGAATAAATGAGATATTTAGCCTATCAGAAAATTATTCATTTTGATAAAAATTCAAAATAATCTGGAATTGTGCTTCTGGATTCCACATTTCTCCCCCCCCCCTCCACACACAAACACCCTCCCACACTATTTTGATTTGGTTCACAACTCAAAAAATGTAACGAAAGTATATGTAAAGAAAAAAATACACATAGAAAATATAATTAAAGAAATGCATACAAATATTTATTTCTCTATTAAGAAACTGCTTTAGAGCAAAGCACAGATTTTAAAAAAATTGAATTATAAATGAAATATTAATATATATTAATATTCATGCATAATTGAAAACATGTCTTTTTTTCTGAAAAATTTCAAAACACTGGAGTCAAAAGAGAAAACTAAAAATGAACAAATTGTTTATTACTGAACAGTAATGCCAAAACAAATTATCTTTTATCAAGCTGCAGCCTTGTTGTATGATATAACACTTCGTCCTCCTCCTCTTCCTCCTTCCATTGCCCCTCCCGCTCTCCCTCTTTCATATCTAGATCAAACTTTAAACTGCCAGAATGAGGTCACTTTCCTGGCTTTGTCCTTGGCCAAAAATAAGTCATTATTAGTACATATTTCTGGTAACAGTCAACATATCAGCAGATGGGCCAGGCTGTGCTTCTCTCCACACTCACACAGTATGTTGTTATCTGCTAAGAGCCATCATTTATTGGTTTTACACTTAGGCACTCCAATTCTCAATGTATCCAGGGTTCTCCAAGTAGTATGAGAGGCATTGGATTCTTCAGTCATATCCTTCTTTGATGTCATTCCTTGTTCATTAGTCTCTTTCCTCCATCTTTTAGTTTGATTTTGTTCTTGCATATCCTCAAGAATGCTTGTTCTTCATTTATTTTATTTATTTATTTGAATTTGTCAAACAAAAACAAGAACAAGAATAAAAGAAAGAAAATACAATGACAGAGATGATAGGGATGTTAGTGCACTTACGCAGACCTCTCTCTACTGACCACTTAAGTATGAGGTATGCCATAAAGGTTTTCTTAGGTCTGAGTTGGCATATTTAGGTCATAAGCCCATTCAAAGTATATCTAGTATCATTCTCTAGCTTAGTTCTCTTTGCTACTACCTCTCTCCTGATCTTAGGTGGACAATGCCAGCAAGCGGATATGGTTTTTTCAATTGGTGATTTGAGAAACCTGTCACTAAGGGTATTGCTTCATTGGTGGCAATGTCGAACTTGTTTCTCATATACAGATGCATCTTACACTGGAACAGCAGCAGATATAATACACCAATATGGATCAAAATCAAAAGCCATACATGGAAAGCAGGCTGCACACCTATGCATCAGAGGTGGTATTCAGCAGGTTTTGACTAGTTCTGGAGAACCGATAGCAGAAATTTTGCATAGTATGGAGAACCATTAATTACCACCTCTGACTGGTCCTGCCCCCATCTATCCTCTGCCTCCTGAGTCCCAGCCGATTGGGAGGGAATGGGGATTTTGCAATAACCTTCCCCTGGAGTGGGGAGGGAATGGAGATTTTACAGTATCCTTCCCCTGTCATGCCCCAAGCCACGCCCATCAAGCTGCAGCATGACACACCCACCAAGCCACGCCCACATAACCGGTAGTAAAAAAAAAATGAATCCCACCACTGCTATGTGTCTTCCCAAGCAAAAACATTTCTTTCATTTTTGTGGTAAACCTCACTTTAGAACTCCTTACCTTGTTATATCGTTTATCCTATGCCCTCTGGAGCAATAGATACAGCGAAAGTATCTATTGGGCAGCTATGCATTACCATTATGACACACCTAGTAATGTGCTTCTAATTGGCTAGACTGATTTTCTCAGAGCTACAATTAGTTACTTGTTCTGTTTCTTGTTTCAACAATTCCTCCCTCCATTGATAATAGAAGAAATGCCATTCTTTTGATTAATTTACTTAGAATACAGCTGGATCATGTACTGTTAACATTTTTTTTGTCTAAATGGAATTTCCTAATAAAGATTTTCTTCATAAAAAAGCAGTTTTTTCCAGAGATCTTTCTGAGTTATTCCATTACTCCCCCTCCCTGCACTACCCTTCTCTGCAGGCATATTCTGCTGCTTAATGCTATTCCCACAGCCTTCAGCCTTGTTTGGCTTCAGAAGCTAATGTTGAATTTAGAATGTCTCCTTGATGTGATTTTCTCCCCTTTCTCATAATGCAAGAAAAAGAAGAAGAAAATTGATTCTGTTGAAAAGAAATCCATACAGAAAGAAAAATTAGCCATGTTAATTTTTCACAAATAGTACTTTGTTCATTTGTTTAACAATAATTTATGCTAAATTATTTACATAGTGTTTATTTACATCCACTGCTGCCACCTACTAAACAGGCAATCTGAAGATTATGCATTGTTTTTAACTATATAAAACCTCAAATATTTGGGAATAAGTTAATAAATTCTTTAGCCATGAACCTGCAATAATAGTTCATCATTTGCCTCTTGCAAGAGAACAATCTAATGAAAGTGGGATGGGCAAAACAAGGTGGATTAACCCTCAGACTCAGTTTCTGTTTGAGAGCTTACATAAGGTACTTAGTACCTGACTCAGCTGAAAGCAAGATTCCCACAGAGTCTTCTTTAACAAGATTTATTGAAACATTAAGGAATAAAGCTACAAAAGCTCTAGCAACTGGATTATGTTCATTTTAGAACTCCATTTATCTTTCACATCATTAGGGTGGAGACTTTCTTTTCTCAATGTCTTTTCTGTGAACCAGTGAGCTAATTTCGCTTTTCCAAGCTAACAGGGGGAAGTATAAGTATTGTTTTAGATCAGGGGTGTCAAACTCAAGGTCTGAGGGCTGGATCCAGCCCGCAGGGTGCTTAGATCTGTCCCACAGGACTTCCCTCAAAACAGTGAAGGATTGGCCCACAGTGCCTTTGCCAGCAAAAACGAAGCTCAGGAGGGTTGCATGTGGCACTACCTTGCTCCGTTTTCACTGACAGAGGGTTGCAAGAGGCTGTCACATTTGAAAACGGAGCCCAGGAGCTTGTTTTTGATGGCAGAGCGCTCAGGTCACCACAGGCGCCCCTGACACAAGTGGTGTCCAGCTGGCTTTGCCCACCCTGGCCCCCAAGGTCAAACACCACCCTGATGTGATGCTTAATGAAATTGAGTTTGCCATCTCTGTTTTAGAGAGTCTAAACACCTTGGATGAGAGGAATTCTGACACAATCTGAGATTCTGGGTCAAATCCATTACTGGCCATTATGCTACTGGAACAAGAAAAGAAATACTACCTTACCCCCAAATTTGAAGAATGTAATTTCTATATTTTTAGTATAAACAGTGTAAAAATACTGAAAGTGGCAAAAAAGGACTGCATCAGAACTAACCTTTTGAACCTAGGATATATTTTACTCACTTTACTCTATGGGGAAAAAATACTGAATGATCACTGCCCAAGTTGTCATGTTCAGCTGGAAGCAGAAAGCACCGAATCAAAAACAAAAGGAAAGACTTGAATCCTTGGGATGAGTTCACACAACATATGAAGTCACAAGCTATAGTATTAGCTACACACATTGCTTATAACCCATGATTAGTAACTGGGCACAGGATGAACCCAGCCGTTGCCTAAGATGCCTGCCTGTTCAAACACCTGATTGGCCAATAAGAAATAATGTAAACAATTGTTGAAGACATACCTAGACAATTGGGGAAATAATTAAATTGTCCATGTTACAATGGCTGCTTAGTAATTTGCAATGGGATTGGAAATCATACATTCCATGTATGGTAGCTTAAATTTCTACCTCTGATACCAGCGTTATTTGAGCAATATTCCACCCATGCTGAGTCACATGCTGCATACATATGCTGAGTCACATATCCTATGCATATGCTTTTGATTTCCCCCTAAACAGCTGCAACAAATTTTACATTGCAGACCCAGGAAATTTTGAGCTTTGTCGCATTTCATTGTGAAAACTGGAACAAACTCTTAAAGAATTAAAGGGACATTCAGGGTTTAATCTGGGCCAGGTTTAAACCACAAAACTGATGTCAATTCATGGGCTGAGCCCCCAAATACATGAAAGAACAGAGATGTGTTTCTAAACATGCAGAGTGCCTTTCGCTCACCACTGAGTATCTGCAACAAGCCCCTCATACATCTGGGAATAGGGGCCAGTATGATATCTCTTCTGGAAGACTCCTCGTCAGAAGACGAAGAAGAACTGGACATGCCACAGGCTTTGCACGGCTCAGGGACAGATGTGCCACAGGCTCCACACGGCGCAGCTCCAGGCTCAGACCACCAGGAGGCAGATCGTCCCTCTCCTGGGTCAGAAGGAGAAGCCGAAGCTCCACCAAGCCCTAGGGAACATAGGCATTTGCAGGTTCAGTACCACAGATGCAGCACACATCCAAGAACAGGTCTCCTGTACAAGAGTGGAGCCACAGTCACAAGGAAGAATTACTTCTGTTGGATGTAATGGCCAGCACTGGGGCATTAGCAGACACTACAGATGGAAAGAATCTTTTTGAATGTTTAGTGACCAATACAGCCATTCTACTTGCCTACTTGGCAACATCGTCATTCCAAAGGCTGTTAAACATTGTGAACAGGGGATGAAAAAAAGATTTTTCAAGTAGGATATTACTATAATCTATCTTTCAATCACACCTGTTTATCACTGCAAAAAATAGTTTGATGTAAGGTTAAGCATCTGAGCCAGAAACCAGGTGATGGTGGCATCCAGTCCTGTCTTTGCTGTGAACTTAAGAGTAACCTTAAGCCAGACATTCCCTCAGTTCTAGGAAGAGGTTTGGGTAATGCCAAACTACTTCTGAAAATGCTGCCACAAAAACTGCACCCAGTCAATTGCCAGGAGTCTACCCTGATTCTCAAATGCATGCACACACACACACAAACATGTACAAGCCCACTTTCTTTAAAAGAAAAACATAGGATATGAATTATAAAGAACAGAACCCCAGCATATTTTTTTACACAACAGATTAACACAGTGGTAAGATTTAAAAAAAATACTACTGGTTCTGTGGGCATGGCTTGGTGGGTGTGGCTTGGTGGGCATGGCAGGGGAAGGACACTGTAAAATCCCCATTCCCCCCCCCTACTCTAGGGGAAGGTTACTGCAAAATCTCCATTTCCTCCCGATCAGCTGGGACTCGGGAGGCAGAGAAAAGATGAGGGCGGGGCCAGTCAGAAGTGGTATTTACCGGTTCTCCGAACTACTCAAAATTTCCACTACCGGTTCTCTAGAACTGGTCAGAACATGCTGAATACCATCTCTGGAGTAACATCAGCCAACTTGTACACCTGTTATAAAACAGACTTTTGCCTACCTCATTCACACGTTCCTTAGCATTTTAGTTAGAAAGTTGGTTTTTATGCAGTACCTCATGTTTTCATTCTTGTGTTTTATTTTTAAATATAATTAGTTTACTTTTTTCTAGATCTATGAACCCACTCCAAAAACAGTTGCTAGTGGGTAGCCATATAAATTCACTAATCAATCGTGTCCTCTGTATTTATCAGTGACTTTTGACTCTTGCAGGGAGCTGATTCTTTTAGTTGTGGAATCTATAAATTAAATATCTTAAGAGAAAAAATCATCTTTTAAATAAATGTCAAAAAACATTTCTGCAATCTATGGAAATTCTGAAAGGCACAAAATGTAGCAATGCTTCTACAGCCTATTTGTAGGCAGCACAAAGGATGCCTTTCTACAATTAAGACTTCATCATGAAAATTGGTTGGAAAATGGCATGGCAACTCTGAGAGAATTAACTAGAAGAATGTGGATTTTTTTTTCTCTTTCCTTAGGAAGGGGGGGGGGAGAGAAGATTCTCGGTAGCATTGTCCTTGAGCGTCTTTTATCAGCTTTTTACATGCATTGCAGTGGGTACGAACAGACTGAGAAATCCCCAAATGATTTTTGTTGATTTCATTTCTTCTTTCCTTTCCCACCCTTCATTCCAATGAATCCACTAACACAAAAAGGAAGAGAAAAGACATTAAAAGATGGAATTTTAAACAACAACAGAAGCTAATAACCATTTTATACATCTGGAAAAAAAAGTGAATATGAACGAGGAATCTTAAACAGAGTTCTGAGTACAAGTACCTGAACATTTTTTTTTTTGCAATCCACCAGTTACAAATTTTAAGTCTGCTTATTCTGTGCATGACATTTCCTTAGCCTCCTTGTTTATTTATATACTGCCCTTGCCCTGGGGACTTTAGTGCAGCATATATTATATGAGAAAGGTTTTCTGATGCCATCTTTGGAGCAACAACCTTGTGAGTTAAATAGGTTATGAAATAATGATTCATTCAAGATCTGCCAGTATATACATATCCTATGAATGGGTAGATTTAAGGAGGTAAGTTACAGGCTGATTTACATACTGCACAAACACATAGCAAACTGTTTAACATGTAGACCTTCAGTTGAGGTATGGCACAATAATGCTCTCTGAAGCATCTGGCAAGTTGGCCGCATGCTGAGAGGTCTGAATAAATAGAATTATTGTTTTCCCTAAAAACTTTTCCAACATAACCCATCCCATTTATAACATGGCACAACTAGGGAAACCTAGATTGAGCCGAAGGGTTGCCAGGAAGGCGGTTTTACCCACTCATTAATTTTTGATTTCAATATTTTTATTTGATATGCAATGATATCTATTTTTCCCATAACAGAGCTGAGAAAAACTAAGATTCAGCCAGTGAGCTTCTGTGACTGAGAATACATAAACAGCATCTTGATAGATTGGATCCCTGGTCCATCTAGTCCAGCAGTTTGTTCTCACAATGGCCAAGCAGCCACACAAAGAGGCCCACTAGTCTTCCAGCAGATGACTTACCACCCAGATGATACTAATGGGCTAATTCCCATTGATCCCCAGGCTTCCCTGAATTGGTCCATCTCTTTTCGTGCAGGGGTGAAATGCCACTGGTTCAGGCCGGTTCTCCCAAACCAATATTAAAAATACTACTGCTTCGCCCGAACCAGTAGTAAAAAAAATGCTACCGGTTCAAGTGAACTGGTTTTTCCAACGATCAGCTGTGACATGCAATTTGTATTCGCTAGAAAGGAGGATTTCCTGCTTCCTAGCTAATCTAAATCACATGGCACAGCGGATTCCCCCCTTGCTGTTTGCTTACCTTTGCAGTCGCGCTCAGTAGCAGGATCCGCCCAACCTCCTGGATGTTATTTTGATTCCCTGTGCATGTGCTGAAGGTCCCCGTCACGCTCACATTGCTACCAAACCGGTAGCAAAGATAAGTGGATTTCACCCCTGATCTCATGCTAGTAAATTCCAATGTATTATTAGAATCTGTGTCTCCCCAATTCTATTCCAATAACTTAACTACAGCCATGGTGACAGGGGGGTTAGAATGTCGTATAGCAAGTTAACTCACTGCTCAGTCCAGGAGTTTGATCCTGACCGGCTCAAGGTTGACTCAGCCTTCCATCCTTCCGAAGTGGGTAAAATAAGGACCCAGATTGTTGGGGGCAATATGCTGACTCTAAACCATTAGAGAGGGCTGTAAAGCACTGTGAAGCAATATATAAGTCTAAGTGCTATTGCTATTGCTACACCATCACATAGGATCTGCTGCCTAAACCCTGGATATCAGAGATGGATTGTTTTTCTTAACTAGGCAAGGCAGCGGCTGATCTTCCCAGAGAAACCAGTTTTCACTTATTTTACACATTTTATAAAACTAAGGCTATTACTCTGGGAAAAAGAAGGAGGAATTATGTCACTGTGTCAGACTTATCTGTTTCCAATCATGCCGTCTGCAATGAATCCTGAACACAGTGAAACCCAAGGGCTTTTTTAAGAAGTAATATATACCCAGTTGAGCTAGGCTGATTGTATTGATTTTATATGAAAATCTATGTGTGATTGTTGCTTCTTCCTTTTCATATATTTTCCTTTCCCGAATAAATTCCTTTTTGTAACCAGATTTGGTTTCATTCATTTTATAAGTGAATTTCTTGTTCATACTTGTGCCCATATAAGAATGCAGCATGATTACCTAGCTAGTCTTGTGCTCTAGGATTGGCAAAAGGTTTAAGTATTGGATTTCTGATTCCTTTTCAAACCAAGGTTTGGGCTTATTATCTCTTTTTAAGAGATTATTTTATTTTATTTTTATTTTATTTTATTATCTCTTGTTAAGGGATTTTTTTTGAAGGAGTTTGCTAAAGATGGTTTAAATATATTCCTGTCCACGTTATGCTACAATATAGTTAATAAATCACAAGTCAAAACCAATCAGAACATGGCTGTAACTTATGAACCAACTGGAGAGTTGCCTAGATGGTGAGTTTGAAACAAAACTACATGAATTCTGAAATCCAGGTCAAGTCCCTGTTACAAACAGGAATTGCAGTATAAATTCCTAATTATGAGTTTATGTGTTTATCTTTGATAATATCAAAGTCTACCCATAATACGCCCTGAAGCAGAGGGAGCATGACATTAGGTCTAAGTAATATTTCGCATTGGCAGGCAATTATCACCATAATAGAATATGAGTTCAGGGATGCAGACTTTCTGTCACAAGTATTTTTTATTTTCATCACAATCCTTGAGTCAAGGTAATCCTGAATCAATGTTTGAAATTAGTAATGAACTGTGAGCAAACTGAAATTTTATTGGGTATCAACAAAATGTATTTTGTTCTGAAGGAAGAAGGCAGCAAAAGGAATAGTGTGTGCTATATTTTAGGTGGTTCTGCAATCCCCTTAAGAAACAGGTTTGCAATAATTATTTAGTGCTATCTATTTTTTTAAAAGAAGACCTAACCATTGCTGCACATGCTTTTTTAAAAACCAATATTGGATTAACATTATTGCAACATTCTGCAATTTAGTGCCATGAGTATGTGCTGAACTACATCGGCTTCAAAAGCCTAGCTTAGTGATGGCTAACCTTTTTGTCACCGCGTGCCAAAAGCGTGTGTGTGTACGTGTGTGTGTGCAACAACACACATTGCCCACACCCATAATGCAATATACACATGACAGTCCCGGAACACTCTGCACCCCTGTTCATATGCATTCCACACACCCGCACTCCCTTTGTGCATGTGCCTCCGCACCCTGTTTTGGGCCTAATAGGCCTCCCTGCAGCCTCCTGGGACCAAAAATGGGCCGGGGGGGCACCATACCCCACGTATACACACATGAACCCCCACATCCTCCCGTGCATGCACCCACATTTTCTGAATTTGCTGTGTATTTGCGGCAGAGACCCCAAAATTAACTGGCCAGCAGGAGCCACGTGCACATGTGCGGTGGAGCTCAGCTGGACAACGGCTCACGTGCCTGCAG